AGGGTAGTTATGTAAAATGTAGCTATATTTTGGAAAATCTATCGTTTATTTTGCATTTATTAATTGTGAAATGTCAGAGAAATATTAATGATGGCATAGGTAATTGTTAATTTTAATCACGCATGTTTTAAACAACGATTTTATTTGCTTACAATTTTGTTTTATTTTTTTAATTTGCTGATAATATTATTGTCAATGTTGTTCTTTAATGGAGAATGCATGAAAGTGATTTTATCATTGTGAACGTTTATTATATATTGTATGTTTTGCCAGTAGTCAATTTTAATTGTTTTTATTTCATTTTGTCATTAATATTATGCTTACATAAACTTTCATTCCAGTTTTAGTGTACTTTTATCGGTTTAAGCTTTATGTGAGAGTAAATAGATTATAAAATAATATAGTATTTTTATATACAATTAAAAGTTTTTATATTTGTATGTGGGTGCTGCTTGAATGGTGGGTTTTACTCTATATGCACTAGATTTTAATTACACACGATTCTATACCGGCAATATTCGTAACTGGAACTTAATTTCTCATTTAAAATGCATATTCGAGAATCTCCAAAGGAACGTTTTCTATGTCACAATAATGTAAAAGTTCAGATTTTTTAAAAATTTCAGTAATATTCTTCGAATAATAATTTAAATTGTTAATAAATATTTATATAACATTTATTTATTTTGTTTCATTTTATTTTTCATGTACACATATTATGAGTAGTAAGTACTGTTTGCGCGTTAAAAATGGTGAGTCTACAGTGTTATGCAATTTATAATCCACATTTACTCTGGTCACACAAGTTACACGGATGGTTATTTACAAATACTGCAAAAGCATGACATTTTAAATTACCAATTGTTTTCATTTCAACGGCTTTTGCTGTTAGTCTGGAGTAGATGCATGGCGGCATCTCGACATCATCACGTAATTATATAATATGTTCTGTACATTTCATACTCATTAGTGCCTTATATATTAGTTTAGTAAACATACAATGATATTTTTTCGTTAATATATTTGCCATCGCTGTTGCTGAAAACAGATAACAAAAGGCGGTTAATCCGCTGCCAACACGAAGGTAACACAACCAAACAGCCTTGACTTTTAAAGGCAAAGAAACGAAACCCTCACAGCTAAATTTTTTTTGTTTACCCCAAAAATTTTTATTTCTCTTTTGGACAAATATGGAGTGTAAATTGCATAACACGGGCGCGGCAGGGCCCGGCCGAGGTGTCGCGGAGCGCCAGTTTCTCGAAACTCCGAGAATCGTTGAGGCGGTCGTCGGCGCGACTATTCAATCGGATCGCCGGTCGTCACTCGGCCCACCTGCCGCCTGATGTAGACTTCACTGACCCAGAAAGGTAAAATTTCGTAGAGATCATCATCTAGTGGACAATCGGATAGTCTATTTCATCAAAAGTTTAAAGTACCTATGTACAGGCTTTGCTTTCACGTTGACGTTCGAAATATTAAGCATCTTGAAATCTCCTTAGTTGGTTAGTGTTTATCTACTTATTGGTGTTTTCATTTTAACGCGTATTTCCAAAAGTAATTTGTTCTAGGTTAAGTTGAAAACAGCGCTGAGTATATAATACTTATAAGATATCTGTAATGCGATCTTGATTACTTTATTGCAACGTAGTAATATGTATCATGTAAATCTTGAAGTTGTAAGTACAGCATGATTTTTATCTCCTTTTTAACACTAGGTAATATATACATGTCTTCTGTTCGTATAAATAAATTCTTTACGGTTTAACCACATATTAGGAATTGTTTCATATTATGATATCAAAAGAATACCTATACCTTTGCATTAATCACGCTACACCGTGTCACACCCGGGGTACGGTCAAACATTATGGTATACTTTTTCTATGAAGTAATTCATGTCTCACCGTGTCCCGGCCGTGCACCGCATGAATTACTTCATACAAAATGTTTGACCGTGCCCCGGCCTCGGTTGCGACACGTTGTAGCGTGAATCATGCTTTATAAAGCTTGTGAACAATGAATCTTTGAATGGGTTCGATTCCCATTGCAAAATAGTTTTTTTTTAATTCTTATGTTTCTTAATAATAAAAAGATTTAAGAAAGAATGCTTTAGCTGCCTAGTATTTAGTAAGTGACTGATAGTCCAGTCGGAATAAATATGAGACCTATTCTAAGACACCAGCGCTTAGCCAATTTTTTCCTAGATAGTATAGACCCCCACGAATATGCCCTCCATTTGTCCCCGCTAGAACCCGTGTTTTGTAGCCAGGAAAATTGTTTAAACAAAGAAAAACCGGTTTTTTGAGTTTTTTTGCTTGTAAACGGGGATTTTGAAAATTTTTTTGAATCAAAGTTGTTCATTAGCTTGCCCTCTACAAAATCAGTTCTATGAAAAAATAATGTGAGATTGTTAGTTTAGCAGTAAATTGCAATTATGTCGGTTTTACGTTTGCAACAATTCAACATGTTATAATAAACATTTTGATTTCTAAAGTAGTTTATCATGTGGGTAACGCCACTCCCAAGAGAGTCATGTAAAATTTATCGACCTGTGTCGCAAACTTTAGCAACAATTCTCAATCTCCGAAAAAAACTTACTTGCCTGTCCCGTCTTCCCCAGAAGGCGCACAGCGGGGAAAAAAATTCAGGTGATTCGATTCACCAAGAATTTTGAGGAATCGATCGAGTAGAAAAAAATCGTTAATAAAAATGTTCGTTTATGGACGATTTAATTTTTTTTTTAAAATTGACGTAGAATAATTTTTTTTTAAACTAATGTATTTTTCTCTCCTCAACTCGAATATACGATTGAAAATTTAAAAAATTCAGTTTATTTATGTACAGAAATTATCTACAAAACTATTAACTAAAATTCGATTACAAGACTGCGTTGTATTCTATATTTCTAATTAAATTAATTTCGTCCTTTTTTCTTCCGGTTCATAATCGGAATTCTCAGGGTATATTAGTATTATATATATATTCAGAATAGTATATTCGAGTTGAGGAGAGAAAAATACATTAGTTTAAAAAAAAAAATATTCTACACAAATTTTAAAAAAAAATTAAATCGTCCAAAAACGAACATTTTTATTAACGATTTTTTTCTACTCGATCGATTCCTCAAAATTCTTGGTGAATCGAATCACCTGATTTTTTTTTCCCGCACCTTCTGGGAAAGACGGGACAGGCAAGTACTTTTTTTTCGGAGATTGAGAATTGTTGCTAAAGTTTGCGACACCGGTCGATAAATTTTACATGACTCTCTTGGGAGTGGCGTTACCCACATGATAAACTACTTTAGAAATCAAAATGTTTATTATAACATGTTGAATTGTTGCAAACGTAAAACCGACATAATTGCAATTTACTGCTAAACTAACAATCTCACGTTATTTTTTCATAGAACTGATTTTGTAGAGGGCAAGCTAATGAACAACTTTGATTCAAAAAAAATTTCAAAATCCCCGTTTACAAGCAAAAAAACTCAAAAAAACCGGTTTTTCTTTGTTTAAACAATTTTCCTGGCTACAAAACACGGGTTCTAGCGGGGACAAACGGAGGGCATATTCGTGGGGGTCTATACTACCTAGAAAAAAATTGGCTAAGCGCTGGTGTCTTAGAATAGAAGTCGGTCCAAATTATGGCTATTCCGACTGGACTATGATGAGAATGCCAAAATATATGACTTCTGCTATCGTTTTGTGTCGGACTCGAGCAAACCGCTGGGTTCTTTCCATTCGCTCTTTGCTGTCAATTATTATCCGCAATATAGGTACGTATTTTAACAAGTCAACTGAGCTTTATTGAAGAGGCAATGCTGTCGAAACACAGCTTATCATTAAAAATTACATTTTGGAATTTGATGCCGTTTGGCTCTGTTCGTCGCATTCCAAAAGAAGCCAAACACTGCGTAACCGCTATAAATAGTTTAAGTATATTAGTTTATTTATAAGGTTGTGTGATTTTTAGGATTTGACTTGAAATGGCAAATAATTGACAATGACTTCGTTATGTTAGACAATACAATAATACTTGTATAACTACGTATAAAATCAGGGACGTCTTTCCCATAGGAGCGCTGGGTGCGGCCGGCCGACCCGGGCCGGGTGATCAACATCTGAATGAATCTGGTGGTAGATAGTACCTACCTACCTACTTACTTACCTAACCCAACTCCAATTTTATAAATATTACTTTAAATAAATGTTTAATGACAAAATTGAAACTTACGATTTCAGTACATACAGTCAGTTTTAATGTTTGTTAACGTTTTTCAAGTCCACTCGGTCAAACTATAATACATACACATATACATACGTATGATTGCTTATTAATGTGATTTATTTCTTCTATATTCTTGTAGCAGTCTAAACAATAGAAAAATATTTATTATTATTTTTTTAAAATGGGGCGCATTGTTGGTTCTCGCACCCGGGCGCCGCATAAGGGTAAGACGCCCCTGTATAAAATAACCTGTGCCTAGTTAAAATTTAAGTTCGTACTGCAGCATGAAACGCGCAAGCTCCCTGTCCGCGCTCAGTAAGCCGGGCAGCCCCGACGACAAGCAGCCGCGGTAGCCAACCGCCGCCGCCACCATGAAACGAGCCCTGCACTACACCACTGTCACCTTCGTCCGAGTACTGACACTGCAGTCCTGACACTACTCCATCATTGTTTTCGAGTTTTCATTTTTCGAGATAATATGTTGAAACTGTTGTCCTTAGATTAAAACAAAATGGGAGGATATGGTACGCTCATACTAGCATTAAATAAAATATGATCCGACTCAACTACATAAGCAACTCTCACACGCACACGTGTGTATATAAACATTCAATCGAGAGAGCGAGACAGAACTACGCTTCAACGCAGCGCGAGTGAAACGGCGAATCCGCTTCCGAGTTCGTACAGCCGAGCTGTATTGTTGTCCTTTTCTTGATAACAAAATAGTGGTACCAATTCTGGCGTGATTCTCTAAACTTAAAACTAAATTTAACATCAGTCTCTCCTTTTCATTCTGTATAGAGAATGACAAGGATATACTGCTGTCAAATTTAAGTTTAGGTTTAGAGAATCATGCTAGAATCGACACCAGTGATTACGTAAATAACATTCACGACTAACCGTGATTTTTGAGAAAAAAAATGATTTTACAGTTTTACGAATGAAAAGTGTTGCCGAGGCATTTGTTATTTGACTTTCAACTTTTTCTGTTCTTTATAAAAGCATCGAAGGCAATCTTTATATTTATAAAACAAAATATACGCAATATTGTAATATTGAGAGCACATGCAGCGTGTTTGAATATCCAATTGTGACTAAAGCGAATTATGGGCATGCACCACAATTTAAGCGGATCACTTTTGAGCCGCGAGTGTGGTATCTTCCCTTTTTGTTATAATCTAAGGTTATGTCTATTAGCTAGCACACACGGTACTTGTGGGTTATTCCACTAGTCCCCATTGATTCTTCTATTTTAGGGGGATTGTGAACTTTCCTTCCACTTATCCTCATTCGATGCTTATCAAATTGATAATGGGAATAAATGGGAGAAAAGTTCACAGATCCCCATTAGGTAAAAAAAAAACTATTTATTGCATAGTCAAAAGTCAAAAGACTCGAACGTGTAATACAATCTATGGTCTGTTCCAATACAATTTGTACAGAAGGTAGAAAGTCTTGTTATACCTCCTTATTTATTGGTTATCCTGCTTATGAAGGTTATCTTCATGCCATGAACCTTCATTACAGATTTCAGATTTCTTTTTTTTTTCAAGTTTTCAAATAAATTTTAGCTAAAGGCTATCATGGGAAAAAATCTGAAAGTTGCGCAGAAATTTAAAGAAAACTTACAACAAACTGTTCCGTCGTCGTAAATAGTTTATTTATAGAATTAAGTTACTTGTTCCCAACGTGAGTCTATCTTGGCATAGACCAATTCTAGTCTAGACAAAAGCTCAAATCATTACAAGGAAAATTCGAAGAAACAGTTCCCGCAATGGATTAAAAAAATTACCATTAACTAAACAATATTTTTATCTTCTGTACCAATTTGATTGAAATAGATGCCTTATAAACTAATTTCCATGTAATTCTTCGGGCAATGGTACTGTTTTTGTATTGATACATTTCTGCAATTATAAAGTACCTACATGAGTGAGAAGAAAGCGTGCTAAAGTTAAGACATTAAGGAGACCGGATAATGTTTACAAAAATAGTGCTGCTTGATTAAGTAGTGTTTTTTTATGGTGTTGGTATGTAATAAATAATAATTATGAAGATCGTGTTATCGGTCTAAGCAACTGTAATGCTGCACACCAGTAAAGTTGCAAAATTAGACAGTTTTTGTGCGATTGACACCGGGGTTGACAAGGAACCTTTGACGTAGGGCGGGATTTAGTGCAGGGCAGGCCGTGCTATAGCCCCCACAACAGATTAAACTAACTAAATTTCAAAGAGTCACCAACAAGGGGGTGGGGATGGAAAATGCCCACTCCTTCGTTGCGCCAGGGCCGCCTCCACACCTCTAAATCCGGCCCTGCTTAGACGAATAACATTGAACTCCCAATAGCTCTAATTCAGTCAAATAAGCAGCTAGAGTGGTGTCCATCGGCAAGTAGACTGGGTAAATAGTCCCCAGAATATGGGGTAGGCAGCCGTCTTAATGGCTAACTGCCTAACCGATAGTGAACTGTACTCTTACAATTAAGAAAACTATGATAGTTTTCGTGAGCTCGCACAAACTGTCAGTTTATGTCATCAACGGTAGTGCAAGTTAATTTTCTCGAGCATCGTTGATATAACTCGATAGTGCGAACTTCACGGTGCATATTTTCATCCCTCTTGCACGCTTAGAGAGAAAATAGGACACTTCTGTCTAATATGGATGTCTAACTATTAACGAAATTAACTTATACGGCCCATTAAAGTTCATTACAGTTTCCGCTCCATGCTACCTACATGCGCCGCTGGTGTGAAATGTATGGAAACAAAACGAGAGGATCATAGTTTTCGAAAACTATCAAAACTCATTCTAAGGGTACTGATAGTCTTTAGTGTAGTTGACAAAGGTCAACTTTACGAAAGGCTATCTCTACCAAAAAAGTTTACATTCCGAATATTCTATTATTGCACTTAATTTGATCTCGATACTTTTGTCGCTTAATTTAATTGAAAGATTTAATGAGAATGATCTAAAAGTATGTACTTACCTTTCTTACTTATCTTTAAACTTTCTTAGGAACAACAAAGAACATTACGTGACTTTTTAGTTGATTTTAATACTTAAATGATTTTAAAAAGATCGTGAAAAGTACTAAGTTAGGTTACTACCAAAAAAGTAAATAATAATGCATAAATCAATGTCATCAATCCAATCAGTATTACAGTATTCTATTGTTTTCATCTTGTTTGTTATTTATTTTACTTGTCATACTATCACACACATTCTAGTGCGCATGAATGAATATAAATGTCTTTATCGCAGTACCTAATTCGATAAATGGATTCCTAAAATACTTACTTCGTTCGCTGTTATTGCCAGACGTTGCTACTGGCAACAAATGTAGAAAATAGAGAAAAATAATAAAGAATTACTGTCGTGAATTGAAATAGATGCTATTGTAGGCCAAATAATATTATACTGGGTCCACACGAGGTGATTTTTGTTGATAAACTGCTAAATCGTATGCGATTTCAACCGTCTGAACAGACTTTCAATCAAATTCACGAAAAGCAATTGAACTGTAAAAGCTGCTCAATTTAAATCGCCTCGTGTGAACCGGTATTATAAGGACGAGGGCGAGCCGAAGTCGAGTAATCAAGAGCTTTTAAAAGGACTAGGCGCAGCGCAGCTGTTAATTTTGTAGTGTTTGTAATTAAATGATGCTATTAAATAATAATTTCGGCAGAGACTTATATAGCACTTATTTCTTTCTAAATTGCGAAGAAACAAATTTTTAATTTCAGGAAACCACTGAAATAAATCAAAAAACACATAAACGCTTACTTGATTTTTAATAAAAAAGTTAGTTTTTTCAAATTATATATGATATTTGATTGATGACGAGTTAAATTTTCTGTAAATTAATATTCATTCGCGCTAATTTTCCGTGCGCGGTTTTTAATCTTTTTAACATTTTATAAACTTTTAAAAAGATGTGCGCTTCAGATCCCACAAACGCTAACGATATTCTATGACCTAAATAAATCCCAGTTGTTGCCAGTGGTGACAAAATAGTACCTAAGTATTTACTCTTAAGCTAATCTGAACTGAAATACGCATTAGAACCACATGCTTTGCTTTATCAGCAACCACAGTAAAAGTGCAATTTTGTATGTAAGTAGATATTGCTTGTGTTAAGTATAGTTAATTTTTATGAATTTACAAGAACGAAAATGAAAAAAAAAACGCTATTTTTCTGAGCAGATTGAATAAACGCTCGCTTAGCAATATAATTCAAAGCCTCATTGTATTTTAAAATCAAATAGGAATTTTAACCATAAGTATTTATATTTTTTACTGACGTCGATCTATGTTACTGTGAAATTTGTTTTCAAAATAAAGGATATAAAGATTTAATTTTGTTTAATTTATATAATATTGTAACTACTACTTAGTTACCCTACTTACACTCATTTTACCTGACTTCTGCGTACATTAAATACGACGGTATTTATTTACTTCTATCTTACTTAAAGCTTGTGGAATAATAACTTGATTAAAATAGATGCCATTTGGACTGATTTCCATGTAATTCTTATGGCATTAGTACTGTTTTTGTATCGATATATTTCTGCAATTATAAGGTACATGCGTGGGAAGAACTATTGTTGGCTATAGTAGTACCTATAAAAGACACTTTTGTATTAAACGTGCTAATAAAATCATACATCATTATGCAATATCAAACTCCGAATCAACCAAAAGGATAAGACATTTTTAAAAAGTTGATATTTATGTAGCTTGTACCAGGAGTCTAACATGAAATTCAGGTGATCCAGAGATTGAAAATCTTTTTTTATTGATAAGTATAAATGATCGCGTGTGGTTGGCTTTTTGTGCTTATGACATAACATACGACATGATGATGATTTATATTAGTTTAATCTTACTAAGAGTACAGAGTCAATCGATACAATCAACCCAATCATCGCTCACAGCCGAGAGCTACGACGCAATCTGAACCAAGTTTTAGTCAAGTTATGCGCAAAGTACGCGCCTGCCCCGCCCAAAAGGCCCTTCTAACCTCTTTCTGTGTTCTGTGTGCCTACCTAAATGAGTTACTGCTAATTTAGAGTTGTTATAACAAATATTTTTATTCTAAGAGCATAGATAAGATAGAGATAATATAAGTATGTAAAAAGAAGTTATTATAAGATGTTTATGTACTTAAATTACAATAACCACATTATAATACAATACAATAAAATAAAACATTTAGTTCAAAATATTTTTAAATTAATAAGTTCAACTGGGCCATTTAGCATGGCAGCCTATTAATTCACGACTTTGTGAATGCAATAATAATAACTTTAGTGTGTTTACAAATAGACCGCCCGAAATCTGTCCGGGTGATAAATATAATGAAGTGGTCGGTTATAAATAATACTTATATGACTTTAATCTGGCCTGCAAAACTCGTTACTTGGTATTTGTACAAGATTCGGAGTTAGGGTTGATTCATCGTCATTGAGCTATAGAAAATATTGTATCTAAGTATGTAGTTATTTTAAATGTTAATGTTGTTGAAATCGTTTAGAACTATCTAGTTGAGTACTTGGCTTTATTAGGCAAATGTACTATAAAAAAATGGTTGCCTGTAAAGTCGGTTTTACGGGCGAAGATTTTACGTGACAACGTCTTTTTCTCGGTAGAATATTTATTGATATGAATATAATTAAATTGCACAATAGGAACAAGGAATTGAATGAAAATAAGAATTGCACAAATTTTAACTATAGAAATATATTTTGTTTACTAAAACATTGTACATGTAAACTTAAACTTAACACGAGAGACTCATCGTAACGTTACCGAGCGTTACACTTTTTCATAAGTGACTCCCAGCCGCAACCTAATTTAAGACGTTGTCACGTCAAAAAACTTATTACAATT